ACTTGTCAATCCAGACATGCTTCCCAATTGATCACACGTTGAGGTAACATGGAGTTAGCTCTTAGTCCTGGTGTTTTCCTGACCTCTATCAATGGATTTATTATGCTTTCCTGTTATTCATTTCCTATCTAAGGAGCCTAAAGAGGCATTGAAAGCATATTCAGCTATTTTTTTCCTCAATTTAAGGAACAAATAAGTTTTTGTTGTTGATGTTTTTAAGGCTTTTTTTTTTTCAGTTTTAGGTTCACAGCAAAATTGAGAGAAAGATACCGAAATATGCCTTATCCTGTCCCTACACATGCATACCCTCCCCCATTATCAACATTTGCCATCAGAGTGGTACAGTTGTTCAATTGATGAACCTATATAAACACATCATTAATGACCAAAGTCCATGATTTACATTAGGGTCCCCTTAGTGTTGGGCATTCTATGGGTTTGGACAAGTTTATAATTACATGTATCCCAATTACAGTATTATACAGAGTATGTTCACTGCTCTAAAAATCTTCTGTGCTCTGTCTGTTATTTTCCCCTCCCTCCCCAAACCCTGGAAACAACTCATCTTTAACATTTCCACAGTTTTGCCTTTTCCAAAATGGAAAATGTCTGAAATCCTACAATATGTAGCCTTTTCAAACTGGCTTCTTTAACCTAGTGATTTTCATTTGTTTTCTCCATGTCTTGTGACAGCTTGATAGCTCCTTTCTTTTTAGTGCTGAATAATACTCCATTGTTTGGATGTATACAGTTTATTTATCCATTCCCCTACTGAAGGACATCTTGATTTCTTCCAAGATTTTGGCGATTATGAATAAAGCTGTTATAAACATTCATATGCAGGTTTTTGTGTGGACATGAGTTTTCTCAAGTCCTTTGGGTAGCGATCAAGGATTGCAATTACTGGATTGTACTGGTAAGAGCATGTTTAGTTTTGTAAGAAATGCAAAACTGTCCTCCAAATTAGCTGTTATCATTTTGCATTGCCACTAGCAATTAAAGAAAGTTCCCATGGGTCCACACCCTCACCAGCATTTGGTGTTGTCAGTGTTCTGGATTTTGGCCATTCAAGTAGGTGTGTAGTGGACAAATAAAATATTAAGCAAGTAACAAAATCTAACTTTACACCTGCTAACAAGAAAAACATGTTTTTAATTGCAGCTACTAATAGTATATTTCTTCATAAAACTAAAAATCATGTTAGTTCTACTTTATGAATTAGTTTAGCCATTTTAGGTTGTAGAAATCTATTATTTCTGATTATCCTTTATTCCTATATGAAATTCTTATTTTCCCTGAAAAGATTTCAGAAGAGGAAAAAGATATGTTCTATTATCCCCCATACCAACAAATGAGTAATTGTTGACTGTAAAGATTAAAATCAATGCCATTATCTGAAGAGGTCAAAAATTATAGAAGCTTATTAAATTATTTGGTTTCTAAATAGAATTATAACTTTATAATTGGCACTTTTCTATGCTTTATTTTGTTTCTGCAGGGAGTATGCAGATTATTTCCAATGAGCCTCTGTTATAATTATAGTTTCTTTTAAATTCTTCTGGCTAAGATAAACCTTGAAATATTGCTTTAGCCCGTAATACAGAACACGCCTTTGAATATCAGGTCATGAAACACCTATAGAGTTTCTTCCCTCATATAGAAATCAAGTAATGTTGTAGGACCTGAGTGGTGAGTCAAACCTTCAGTACACATTGATGATGGAAGCCACCCAAGATCTAAACTACCGCACTTCAAAATTGCTCCTGATTGTAGATTCAAAGTTAGGAAAAGCCCAAGAGAAGTTAAGAATGGCATAAACAAGTTGATTTTTTTTTACCATTATTTCACTTTCTTATATCACCATCCTTTATTTACTTTTCTATTACCCTTGTTTTAGCTCTCATATTTTAATAGCAGTAGTTTCACATTTAAAAATTTACCCCCTTGACATAGAAATACACTGTTTTCAAGTTAATTTTTGTAACATCACACCTATTGGGAAGCCAAATTTTTGGATAACTTAAAGTCTTAAAGATAGTTACTCAAAAGTATATGGAAAAGATCATTAATCTCTGTCAGAAGTTATCAAATACAGGAACTTCAGCCTTCAGGTTGAGAGTGATTTTACTCTTTTAGACATAATTTAACCTAGCTTAGTTTCCCCATCTTACAGCATGTTAAGACCATCCAATCAAATTGGGATGAAACCTAAATCTCCATCAACTGATGAATAGATAAAATGTGCAGTACCATACAATGGAATATTATTCAGCCATGAAAATGAAGGAAGCACTAATACTACCACTAGATGAACCTTGAAATCATTTTGTGACTGGAAGAAGTTAGTCACAAAAAAAGCCACATTTTATATGATTCCATGTATATGAAATGTCTAGAATGGACAAATCCATAGAGACAGAAAGGAGGTTGGTGGTTGGTGGGGCTAAGCATAAGGGGAAATTGGGACGGATTGCTCATGAAATGAGATTTCTTTTGGGGGTAAAGAAAATATTCTGGAATTGGATATTGGTGATGACTGAATGTGAATATGCTAAAAAAATCACTGAATTTTATACTTTAAAAGGATGAATTTATGGTATATGGATCATATCTCAATTTTTAAAAAGGAGATCAAACTACTTGAAATACCCCACTGATCCTAGTGAATAATGACAGATAAGAGCCTAAAAGGAAATAAGAAATGAGAAAACCAGTGTTAAAAAATAAATAAATAAAGACCAAAAGCAAAGGAAAAAAAAAAAAAAGAAATGAGAAAACCAATAAGGGAAAGACATAAAAACTGAGGACACATACAAATATGTGCCACTTAACAAGGTGACAAAATGCCATGGCTCAGCCATGCAAGGCCAACTCCACCAATATAACTGTCTCCACATACCATCCCCCCAGCCCCCAACTCCCAGAGATTGGTGACCTTAGCCTTCATTTAGGGGAAGATAGATTGCCTCCTTTCTCATCAGTAAAATCATCTCTGTACCACTCTGAAGTTCCTAATTATGGACTGGAGCCATGAGAAAAGAGATGAAATTATATGAAAGCATGGAAATATCTTTAAAAGATTTTTATCAAAGATTTTATTTTTAAAAAACATTTTAAAACTTAATTGTTGAGCATTTTTTACTTATGTTGAGTAACTCATTCCCAAAGGAGAGTATACTAATGAATGGGTGTTGTATTTCCTTTTTTTTTTTTTTTTGCTTAGCTTTTTTTTTTAATAGCCTTTAAAATTTTACTTTCTTTCCTCAGCTTCCTTTCTTTATTCTCGTTATAAGTATGCTTTAATATTTTTTCAGAAGCTATACTGGGTTATGAAGATAAATTAAGCAGATTCAATAGCATGTCTTCCTTTGCAATTCACATACATTTGAATGTGAAATAGATTTAATATAAACAGTAGAATTTACCTAGAGATGAATGACTTTAGGAGTAAAAGGAATCACAGTATTTAACCTCTTGAGGAATCCTTAAAAATCAAATGTGAAATAGTTACCTTACTTAAAATTTGCCTTTGAATATTAAGTAGAATGATAAATCTATAACTAAAATGGTGTTTTACAATTATTACTAATAGTATTATTTCATTTTGATTATGCAGGAAATACCACACTCATTTATTACAGTTTGATGGTGAAGGAGGTTGGCGCTTTGAACAGTTGGATACTGCTATTCGTTTAACATTGAGTGAAGAAAAACAAAAGCTAGAATCTCAGTTGGCTGGAATTCCCAAAATGCAGCAAAGACTCAATGAACTATGTAAAATTTTAGGAGAAGACTCAGTGCTGAAAACAATGAAAAATGAAGATGAGACATCCTAATTGTTTTGATTATGTTTTAAATGTTTGTTTTTAGTTAAAGGCTCAGAGACACTGTTATAGTGCATGCATTGTGTTAAGCTAAGCACAGAGAAAAAAAGGCAGCAAGAAATGTTTTAGAAGATTTTAGCATCAAGGAAGTAGATGATCTGACTTTTCAAAAGAAAATAAGCAAATGCACTCTGTAAGATTAGTGATCAGGGCTTGTTCTAGTTCCTAGTGAAAACCTAATTCATGTAAAACAGGATTTTCTAGGTGAATTCACAGTGAATACCAGATTTGCTATGTGTATATAATGCATCTGAAATTCTTAACAAACATGGGAGATATCCTGAGAATTGAACAATTGAAGAGCAACTTTTGGGTTGAAACCAGGTGCATAAAACTAGAAATTTGAGTAACATTTTAGTCCATTTATGATTATTAGATAACACAGCTAGAATTCATGTTGCTAGTGGTCAACTAATCCTGTATACAGAATAGCTAATAGTTTGAGAAGTAATTTCCCTATGAAAAAAAATGATTTTAATGACAATGGTTGAAAGAAAGAAACATGAATGTACATGTATAAAATATCATTTTTTAATTTTAGATTTTGAACGTCTCAGGATGGGCACATCACAAATTCATTTTAATGAGAATCTGACATATTTGTTAATAAACTCATTCATCTTAAAAAGAGAATTGCCAGTACAAAAAAGAAGTGTCCAAACAATGTTTGTCTCAACCTGTTACCTTACCTGGCAGCATTATCTATTGCAACTTCTGTCCAGATATACTTAGCTTGTTTTTGTGCACAAAGGAGGAGTCCACCACATTTTTAAATAGCAGTGCTGTAACAGAATAGAGGCATTTTCAAAATCATAATAGTCGTAACATACCTTGGAATAGCACTTTATAATTGACCATCCTCATTTATATGCATCTTAATCCTTGTGCAATCTTCTGAGGCAGATGTTATTTCTCCTAGTTTGCTTTTGAGAACTTGGCACTCAGATTTGCCCTAACCATGCAGTTTATTTCGGGACAAATCCAGAGATCAGATGAAGTTTCCCTGTTTCCCTGGTTCAGTGCGATTTTCACTATTACCCTTGAAATTCAGTTGGGCTATAATAGGAATAAAAGTTAGGTGAGATGTTGAAAAGAAAATTAATTTGGTAATGTTAGTGTTATTGTTATTTGATTATTGTTTATAATATATGGAAATTAAGTACAAAGTGGAAAGTTCGTTTGTCTCTGGTCTAAAACGTGACAGGAAAGTTAGCTATCTTTTAGCAACTGTGCATTCATCCTCAATATAATTGGATCCCTACAGCCAGCAATCAGAAGGGGAATTATGTTATAGGGAAATTTAATATTTATTGAACATAATGAGAAAGAATCTGAATGGAATAGTCATGTGCAATACATTTTATGTTTTCACTTGCCCTGGAATTGGAAGTATGAAAGCCAGGATGGCCATTTTAAACTGCTCCTGCCTATGCCTCCAGGCTGAAGGGACAGAGAGCTGGGAACGCTCAGTTACTAGTGGTTCAGGATTTGATCTGCATGTTTAGACACCGCCACAATAGATGCTAAGTCAGTGATTCTCAGGCTTTCTCAGGTGGTGAAGTACCTGGAAGTCATTCATGATGACTGTCATAAAACATCATAGCATTTTCACATTTTGGATTCTTCTGTGCTTTCTTTAAATCAATTTTTAATTATCAACAAATGTAACCACCTCATATGAATACTCAGGACATCTGTCTAAGTTTTTCTGTTAGTATCATTAACTATTCACTTAGTCATTTGTCAGTTACTGCTACTTCCTATTAGAAAAGTGAGGCAGGTATCAAAGGTTTTAAAGAAATGCATGGAACAAAAACTTAAACTGGATCAAAATTATTCATTAATCTAAGTTCTGGATCAGCAGTTATCCAATTTATGCTGCTGTAGGAAACAGTCTGGGGCAAGTGTCTTAACTTTTAAAGATACAAGAAGAAAATGGAAAGTCTTCATTTGAAATGTGCATAATTTTCATGCCTTAATTTTCATAATTTGAAAAGTAAAGCATGTAGGACCCAGTATATTGTGTTTTGAAACTTAGAAAAGAATGCCAAAACAAATACTAGATTTGTAATTAGCCCTTATTTAATACATCCTACAAATTGGCTGAAGTTAAATGACATTATTTATAATGTACAGGATTCAAGAATGTTTAAAATTCTGTATTAAAAACTATACACTCTGCAGTTTAAATGGTAAAGTTCTAAGAGAAACATGTTCTGTGTGAGCTTTTTTGTGCCTGTTTATTTTCTGAATTTTTTTTCCAGGACCAAAATCCTCTAACTTGGAGTGAAAAATAATCTGTGATTTTCATTTGTATTTGTGTACATTTAACTGTTTACAAAATGGTCCAATGAGTATACCACATTTTACTATCCTTACAGTCTTATTTTGTGAAAAATGTGAACAAGATGAAAAACTAAATAGCCATCTTTGAATATAGCAAGGAATAAATGAGAGAAGGAAAAAGAAGTGATATTTCAATTTTCAAACAGGCTTTACAGTGTCATCTATTTGCCTCAATTATTTTGACTCCTGTTTGTTCTATTTTGTTTTGTTGTGTTTTGTTTTGGTCAAAGGAAGCTGTAAATTTGTGGAGATTAATTTTTAAATGTGCTTTTTTGGGGGGGGATTAACTTTTAAACTTGGAAAATAAGTTGCATTCTATGAAAATGTTGCATTATATTTCTACAGCATGTAGTGTTACGCACACCAAGCATGAATCTAAAATAGTGTGTGTTCTTGTGTAAACAAGATAATGTGTAAAAATCTCTCTCTAGTAATCTCAAGGAGAATGATACATCTTGAGATTCAACCTGAGTATACATTTGTTTCCAATGGGAATGGTTTTTCCTTGATAGTAACTAAGTTTTTGTCAAATTTTGTTCTTCCAGTATAGGTATAAATGAACAGGTTACTTGTTTTTTTATTTGAGACTTTGGTTCCAATTATAATTTCATATTTGTCAATAAGCTTAGCCTATTAAAATTTGTTTGGAATAGTTTTTGGATTCCATAAGCGTAGAAAAACTTGTTACACTTTGGAACTCAAATCCAGAGAATGTTATACACTTCTGAGATATGCATAAAATGGTAAAGATTATTAAACCATTGATTAAAAGAGATGTCTTTGATGCAACTACTTTATGGGAAAAAATCATTCTCATTTAGAAGTGTAAAGTTCTTTCACATAACCCAGGAGATTTACAGGTCTGATGATATGTTTGGGTATGTCAAATATTTTTTTGAGTTGTACTTGTAACGTTTGCCACATGAGAGCTTTCAGGTGGATGCATAAAATATTTTTATTAAAAGCAAATCCCTTCTTCGTTGCTGGTGTCTTTCCTGATTACCAAGCACAAAATGGCTTTACAGTTTGTGTTGTGAAATTTCCAAAACCAATTATCTACACTTATAAGCAGGGGGTGAGTAGTAGGGGGTGTATTAATGAAAGCAAGTGATAAAAATGTCCCTAATGGTAAAAAAATCACTATATGGCTAAAACAGAATGTGGCTGTGGTGTGAATACACAATACTGTAGTCTGCATCCAATATGCAGTTACTGGAGCTCAACATTGCTCATTACTTGTAGGTCCCTAAAACATGAAAAAAAAACTTGAGTAATCAAAGGAATTACGAATTGTTTCAGTGATGGAAAATGTCCTATTTCTATGTTTTTAAGTGAGTCTGTCGGGTGTCTATATACACTTTAGTTACAAGTTGTGCAGTGTACAATTGTGTGGAGTGCTACACACAAGTCACCAAATAGTTGCTTAAATATTTATTTTCTTTATTAATTCAACACTTATTTATTAAGTACCGACCTATGCCAGATGCTGTGCCAGGTTCTAGGATAAATAAAATATTATAGCTATCCCAAGAAGTTTACAGTCCATTGAAAACTAGGAAAATGAGAACCCTTATCCAGAGGAAAATTTAATAGCATCTATTTATTATTTACCAATAGGCACAAAGCATTGCATATACATTAAATCATCACAAAACTCTAATAAAAAAGGAAAGGGGGGAACAGGGAAGTTAAGCAATTCATCCAAGCTAATATAGCTACTAAGCTAAGAGCTGAAATTTGAACCTAGCAATATTTGATTACAAAGGCTATACAACTCCCCATCACCTTCCTTTTAATTAGCTTAGGTCATTTTTTTATTATTATTATTTTTGGCTCTAAAGTTTGGCTCTAAAGCCTTTAAACTGCCTCAGGGTTTCTGGTTAACTAAAAAGATGCAGGTTTTCATCTAAAAAGGAAATTTGTGACACGAATTATGTTTCTCATTTTTTTTTATAAATCATGGATGTGGGGTTATGGGAGAAGGATAACAAAAGACACATTTTCAAACATTTTGAGGAAGAAATGTCCAAACTGGTTAACATTTATTAATTCAGTAGATATTTATTGACACATCCTAGGAATTCAGAAGTGGATGAGAAACCTGGTCTCAGCCCTCGTGAAACCCTTTAGTACATCAGGACTAAACAATTGTGTGCCTGTTAGATGTTGTGGTCCCATCTAAATAAATGGTCTATCTATTTTGTAGTGTCTTCTCAACTTTTGTATCTCTTGCCTAAGACCACTCTCTTGCAATATTTAAGCAATAAGCCTTCTAGAAGCCTTCTGTGATTATACAATACACTTAAGGGCTTCATAATCCTCTTGCCCTCCAACTTGGTGTAAATTACAAGGTCCAGTAAGACCAGTCTGTAGGACTGTATCACCCTCCACCAGTAGGTGCTCCCGTACATTTAGCGTGTTGTCCTGAAACCTGAGAAACATTAGCTTCTCAAGTTCAGATCATGTAAAGTGAGCCAGTTTTGTACGATGAAAATCATCTCTGTCGTGTTAACACCAAACGCAGATAACTATAGCAGGAAAGCTCTAAAAAGCAAAAAGCAAAACAAAAACAAAAACAACCAAAAAGACCCAATAATTATAAAGCTAAATACACAAGGGTTCCAGACTTAAAACACATTTAAAATTACGTGCTTCATCTCAGTTCTTGTGTCAAATGAAGAACATAAGGTAAGTATTTACTTTATATATTTTTATGTAATTTAATAGCTATAAAAAGATTATGCAGCAATGAAGCAATGGAATATTAAACCCTGAATAATATTCACTTGCCTATATTATGTAATTATAGTTCATTTAATCCATATAAAAGAGGAGCCAACTTTATGTATCAAATATATTATTTAATTTTATGTATTGAATATATTAAACTTAATAATTAAAATGTATTGGGCTAGACATTATGCAAATGTACAAAACTACAGAAGTTTACACTAGAAAAGTGTCCCAGAACTCACACCAGGATGGGGCAAAAGAGGTCCTATAATCAGACGACCTCTTAGTGGGAACCTAATGTAATGGGACCTTTGTCACAGGCAGATACTGATCATTCAAGAGTGATGAAGACCAAGGGAAAAAGGATCAAAGTCTCCTTGTTTCGGCTTGCTTGTTGCTCGATATAGAAAAATACAGGAGAATTTCCAAGATTCATATGGGTGGGGTTTAGATAAATGAGATTAATGTAGATCCAAGCCGATAAATGTATTTTCCTGCCACCTAACACATACAAACACACACACACACATACACACACACACACACCCCTTAGAAGTTTAATACAAAAAGCAGCATAACAATTTTGAGAGCTTAAATGACTGAAGAAATTTTTTTATCATGATAGAAACAAAGTTTGCCATCGTCACCATATTGAAGTGCATAGTTCAGCGTGTTAAGTATGTTCACATTGTTGTGAAACAGATTGCTAGGATTTCTTCATCTTATAAATCTGAAACTTTACACCCATTGAACAATAACTCCTGCCCCCTCCCCTCCCGTCAGTCCCGGTAACCATCACTCTACTTTCGGTTTCTATGAATTTGACAATGTTAGACGCATCATCTAAGTAGAATCATAAAGAACTTGTCTTTTGGTAACTGACTTATTTCATTTAGCACAATGTCCTCACAGTTCATTCCTATTGTGGTATGTGACAGGATTTCCTTCCCTTTTAAGGCTGAGTAACATTCCGTTGTATATTTATACCACATCTTGTTTATCCATTCACCCATTGACAGAACATGTTGCTTTCTCCTCTTGGCTATTGTGTATAGTCCTGCTATGAACATTGATATGCAAATATCTCAGGATGCTACTTCCAGTTCTTTTGAATATATACCCAGGAGTAAGATTGCTGGATCATATGGTAAATCTGTTTTTAATTTTTTGAGGAACTTCATTTTTTATCTTCTGCAGTGGCTATACCCACTTACATTCCCTCCAACGGTGCACAGGGGCTCCCTTTTCTCCACATTCTCACCAACACTTATCTCTTGTCCTTTGGATGGCAGTTATTCTAACAAATGTGAAACAATGCGTCATTGTGGTTTTGATTTGCATTTCTCTCATGATGAGTGATGCTGAGCATCTTTTCACATGCTTCTTGGTCATTTCCTTATCTCCTTTGGAGAAACATCTATTCAAGTCCTTTGCCTGAGGAATTTTTTTTAAATTAAAGCGGCTTCACAATGTTTAAGGCCTCAATCTGTTTCCTCTGCTTCCAAAAAGCTGTCTCCCCTTTATCCCTCCTCTATCCTTCTGCACTTCATTCCCTTGGCTGGGCATGGCCAGTGTTTCCTTTTGCTTTGTCTCTTACTCATTTTTCTCAAGTCAGGAATGTCTTTCTTCCATCATTTCCCTCTATTAAAACCCTGTCTAGCTTAAATTCTTTCCGGTTATATATCACTTTCTTCGTGTTTATGCTTACAGAACACTTTATTTAAAATCCTGTTATCACATGCTACCTTTTATTATTTATTTGTGTACCTGTATTCCCCATCCATCCATTCATTCAATTATTTATTCACTTGTTACATAATCCAAAAATAACCCCCCCACCAGTTCTTCACATCAGTCAGTTTTACTTATGTAACTTACTTCTCCATTTACCTTATTGACTTATTTGTTAGTTGTTTCTCTCTATCTACCATCCTTACCTTTTTAGACTATAAACACTGTAGACTAGGAATTTTGATTGTCTTACTTACTGCAATATTCATAGCACCTAGAACAGTACATGGGAGATGGAAGACACTTAAAAAGGTATTTGTTCAACAGGTGCATAAATGGATGAGTGAACAAATGAATAAAAATAGTACAAAATGTATGTACAAAAAAATATGAAAGAATGAAAACAAATTAATAAGAATGAATGAAATCACTGAGGAAGAGATAAAAAAAAGAAGTACACTCTCTCTTTCAAATTCTTATATATACTAAACCCACACTACTGGGTAAAACTATAAAGTTTAGTTTTTTCTTTTCTGCTGAAAGGAAAATTGAGTGTCTTGGAGTTTCATACTATTTGCTTCATCTACCTTCTTTCCTTTTCTCTAGAATAAGTTAAGAAATAATACACTGGTCTTTATCTTCTCAACAGAATGCTGATTGTAATAGTTTCACAAACAGTTCGAATTCACTGATTCAACAGAAATTAGATATCACATTACCTGTCTAGCTGGATCACCTAGCTCCATATTTTCTTTCTCTCTGAGATCCCACAAGGCTGTATCCTTCCTCTTTCTACTTCTCTGGGTGGGTCTCCACACCCACACGGTCAGATAGAATAGGACCAGGAATTCATAGATCCTATACTCTCATTATTATCATTCCCAATGACCATAAAGACGTTTTTCCCCCCAAATTAGAGGCATGAATAGAATTTTGCTTTCTCTAATGTTTACCTAAAATTCAATACCAACAGAACAACCTTCCTCTTATGACCACTGGACTCCCGACAGTAAGAACAAAAGGGTCAATTCGAAGCAGAAAGCAGATTTCAATTCCAGCCCATAACAGAGCCTGTTGGAATGCAGCATCTCTCCTTGCCTCACCACAAGCCTCAGGTGCAGGCTCCGTGGAGCAGTGGTTAGGAAAACAGGCTCGGGAGAAAGACTGTTTGATTGAGTCCTTCCTCTGTCACCTCCCCAGTGGGCATGTTCCTTAATCTCTCTGTTCCTTGGGTTTTTCATTTTTAAAATGGGGATGGTAATAGTACTTACCACATGGTATGTTGAGAAGATTAAATGTATTGACAAAGTGCTTAGGAGAGAGCTTGGCATACATTTATAGTTGTTACCATTTATGCATCTGTTGGCATCAGTTGTTTAAATAAAGTCAAATCAGCATACCTCTAGAAATAGTTTTTTGATTGAGTCTTGGAGAGGAGAGGGCTAATGTAGGAGGGAGGAGCAGTCCTTCTGGGTTGAGAGACCTCGGGTATGAGCTGTTAGAAGCCAACCAGCTCA